CCAAAGCCTTCCCACCTTGGGAAGAAAGAGGCACCTGGAAGCCTCAGGGACAGGGGAAGAGCTGGAGTCCCAGGAGCTCTCTGCAGCCTCATGCCCTGACCCCGAACTCAGCCACATGCTTTGTCTTCACAACCTAATTCTCACTGTAACCCCCTCAGTTCCAGGGCAGTGCTTACCCCACATCAGCCCCAGGATCAGGAGATCCTAATCAGCCCATGAAACACTCAGGTTCTATTTTCAGCCTGGGAGCAGATATTTGAGACTGGAGCACAGCCCTTTATCCAGGCAGATCAGCCTCTTCCCCCCTTCCCACCAGAGCAGGGAGGAACCAGAGCTGTTCTGCTCACAAAGGGCCCTGAAACCCCTCACAGCATCACTTGTCTTCACCAGATGAAATCAAGACATCCCAGTTGTGAGGCAATACCACCTGTTATCTGCTATCTCATTCCTTTCTCCATGACCTCACTTAGGGTTATCAACATTCCCAGACAAACTGAGCCAGGATGGCAAAGACACAAGGAATATTGTTGGCAAAGCACATAAAGGACTCTGGGAGTGTCAGCCCACAGCCAGCTGTGAGCCCCTGCGCTGGACCTGGAGAGCTCTCCCAAACCAGCACCAAGGTGCTGCCAATGCTCCTTTGTGGCAGTTTCTAATCATTCCCCTAATTCCAAACCTTGACTGAGTCCCCTGAAAAAGCAAATCCCACTGCAGAGACAAGGAAGCTCTCACTGAACTTGCGTTAAAATGACCAAAACTGCACAGAAAACTAACATTGATAATTCAGCTTTTGAAGGTGAGGAAGGCCACAGTCACTCAGGAGCTCAGGGATGACTGATCCCACAGATGAAGCCTCATGGTCTGTAACACCACAATGTTCCTCCATGGGTTCTTACCTTCATTTTCCACATTTCCTGACAGAAGAGTGAGTGACAGAACACATTGTTTGCCAGCAAATCCTTCACTGCATGGAGCAAGCAGGACAACCTCTTCTGGCATCCCCCCAGAAAGGAAGCAGAAATTCCCTTTGTAAATAACATGCTCTTAGAAAAATTATGCTTTTCCCTGTTTGCTGCTTTTTAAGGGGTTGAATGGTGGAAAGAATTCATGGGAGAGGCCCAGACTTTCCATCTTACACATCTTGTACTTCTGTGCATGAATAATCATCTGCTCAGGCCTCCATGTTCGGGGCTTTATCAGAGCAGATGAACTGGGCTGAAAGTCAAACCCAACATTGCTGTTTGCTTGATAAATGAAATGTAAAGCTTTCTCCTTACTCTCTGGTCCGAGGTCAGCAGTGGGGAGGGGCTGGCAGGGGCCTGGCAGATCCTCTCCATGTTGGTAGCAGCAGTTTTGGTTGCCAGGATGGCTGTGGGCACACCCAGCTTTGAGGCCTGTTCCTGCAGAACAGACACTAAACAGAACAGAACAAAGCAGAGAGCTGTCAGCATGGGGGGGAAAAGGGTTTAAAACCTCACAATGAGCTCCAGAATGGTTTGGGTTGGAAGGACCTTAAGTTCATCCCATTCCACCCCCTGCCATGGGCAGGGACACCTTCCACTAGCCCAGGTTGCTCCAAGCCCCATCCAACCTGGCCTGGAGCACTTCCAAGACAGAATCCCAAGTCTTAACCCCCTTCCAGCACTGGTAACATTCATTGCACTGAGTAAATCATCTCCATTTCCATGTGCCATTCCTTTACCATACATAAAACAGGGGCAGAACAGCCACAGAGGTGAAATGCCCTTGCTGAGCAGATTTTTGTCATTTAGCCTTGCAACACATTCAAAGAACCAAAACATTCAAGGATCAGACCTGACATCACTAGGCAAGCAAGAAACAAGACCAGAACAATGAACAGAAAGTAAGACTTGGGCTGCACTTAGCAGGGAAAAGTGGAGAACATGAGGAAGAGTTTTGTCCCCACATCTGTCCCCAGTAGACACTCACCTACAAATGACTCTGATGGCACTCCCAGGTGCTCTGCACCACCCTGCACACATGGCTTGGCTGGGTCTTCCACCTAGAAGCCAAATGAAACCACTCTTTGGTGTCCGTAACACTCTTAGATGTCTGTTAGACACATTTCCAAGCCTATTCCCTCTAAAACTCGCATTGCTGGAGCAACTGAAGTGAAATTAACTCCAAGCTCCCATGTGGAACACCAGAGGTTTCAGGCACCTCACAAGAGACATATGTATAGTTATCAGCATTTTATGCATAAAAAAGGAGATACAGGCCAAAGTTCCTTGTCCCCAGTCACCCAACAGCTCAGCAACAAAACCTCTGCAACTCCCACCCTTCAAATCCTTTCTGTGAGGCCACAAATATTTGATGAAACATGTCCAAACGTTGGATCCTTTTCTACTTAAATCTCCTTTTTATATAAAGGAGAATATTCTGCAGAGAAAGGAAGATTCTTGTGGCTGAACTATGGGAGGTTATTTGCACTGTCTGTTGTTGTTGTAAAATCAAAGTGTGTGAGGAGAGGAAGAACATGACCAAGTCAGAACACTGGCTCAAGTCAAGGCTGCCGTGAAGACAGCCAAGTTAGTGATTGGTAACTCAGAGAAAACACAAGTCTGTCCTGACTTTTTACCCCCTAGATTCACAAGCTAGTTGTGACATCAGGAAGAAAATGCTGGATTTCCCTTTGTCCCAAATCCAAACCATGCTTAACCATTTTTAGTTTGTAAGAGTAAAACATAAGACGGAAAAGGAATAAAATAACCTCATTACTGCAACACAGAAATTTCAGTTTCCTCCTACAGTGTCGGTTTTTCTTTCCACACATCATGCAAACTGTGTTCCTGGGACACTCACTGCACACCAGGTGGGACCCAGCCCCAGCTGGGATCTGCCACCACCACCCCAGCTGGACTGTGACACCCCAATCCATCCCTCATACCTCCAGGAGGAGGTCACTCAGGTTCTGGTGGTGTTCCAGCAGCCTCAGAGCTGCTTCTTGGAGCTCTGCTCCGCTCCCAAAGGGGCTTTTCCGCTTCTTGGCTCTCCCTGCTGAGAGGTTAGGGGTGGTATATAGTCACAGCTTGTTCCCACAGCCCCCTGAGGGCACCTCCTGTTCCCTGATGATGGGGCACGGGGG